TGTACTAAGACAAATCACAGAAAAGACCTGACAAATTCTTTCGATCGCATCCAAGTCGAAGACGTCTTATATCTACTGTATAAAATAAGCATACCAATCAATATTATATAAACCATCGAAAACATCTACTTCTATAATCGAATACAGGTAAAGATAAATGGAAAACTAACACAGTGTATACCAGTACAAAGTGGAGTCAGACAGGGTGACTCGCTAAGCCCACTTCTTTTTAATATAATAATGGACGAAATAATACAAGCAGTACGTAAAGTTCATGCTTAGAAAATGGGGAACAAAGAAATCCAAATATTATGTTATGCAGATGACTCCTCATTACTCGCCGGGACAGAAGACGAGCTCCAAAGATTAACACACAAACAAATACAATATGATAATATCAGTAGAAAAAAACAAATGTATAACAACATATAAATACCCACTAGGATGTAAAATCGAAATTGATGGGAAAATAATAAAGCAGGAAGCAAGGTTTAGATATCTAGGAATAACTAGTTACGGAGATGTTGAAGAAGTACGACAGACAACAAAGCTTAAAAGCAAGTAAAGCGGCGGGATATCTTAATGACACAATCTGGAAGAACAAACACCTAAGACAAGATACAAAAACAATTATATATCTATGAATCTATAAAGCAGCAATTAGACCTATATCAACATATACGGCGGAGACAAGACCTGACGGTCTTGTGTCGTGTTCCTAAAGCTGTGGTTCGTGGAGGATCCCATTTGCCGTGCTTTATTATGTATAAATTTGAGGAAACGGTCTGTGGTAAACAAAATCAGAGGTTGGTCCGTTAAACCACGTGTTCACAAACAGGTTAGGTTATAATTTCTAACATACTTCAGACATTATCGGTTTGAACGTCTAACGAGGCTAAGACTATTTTCTCTTCAGTTTTTTGTTAAAAAGTGGAACTAAAAAAGAAGATAATGTTCCGTAAAGGACTATCGGAAGACGAACTTCGCAGAATTGCTGAGGAGAATCACTTTAGTGATATCAGTATGCATGAAAGTACGTTTTGCAAAGAATTGCAAATTGCAAAGAATTTACTGCAGGTCCTAGTTCAAACCAAAAGAAGCCTGATACAAGAAGGATTGGTAAGTTATTTAGGAATGCACAATTTCTGTTTGTAGTTTTTTTTTGCTTTGTAGAAAAAGCTGAATCTGCAAACGTTAGCCTGGAAGCTGTTATTGACGATGTTGTATCAAATAAAATAACAAATAAAATAACTTGGAGCGATGTGCCGAATCCAGATGATCTCAATAAGTTCGAACTGTCCTTTACTTCAAGAAGAAATTGCAAAACTTGCAGACCACAAATCAATAGATTTCTACCTACTGTTTATCGACCGTCAAGTGCAAGATTTGATGGTTAATGAAACTAATAAATACGCCGAACAAACAATAATCGCTGGTATTGCAAATGAATCAATAACGAAACATTAGCTTATTAGTAACTTAAGACCAATTGACAGAGAATTGCTTCGATTTTTAGCTCTCATTATTTAGGGGGTTAGAAGGAAAACCCGAACTTGGAGATTATTAGAGTAATAATTTACTTTACAAGAATGAAGTTTCTAAAATGTGTGAAATAAGTAAAGTCGATTTGAAATAATATTACACTTCCATAAGCATGGAGAACGGTAAACAATCTGAGAACAAACCGAAAAGAAACGAGTAGAATAGATTTAATATAAGAAAGATCTTGGTTCGAACACTACTCACAACTTTTGACTGAAACAAGACCTCAATTCACGAACATCAGTACAACAACATATGAACTGGAATTCAGTGAAGACGATGAAATAACAGTACAGGAAGTCGAGAATGCAATACGAACTCTAAAAAATCGGAAGTCATGCGGACCACAAGGTATACCAAATGAATTATGTCTTCACCTTATTCTATAATGGACACGACACCACCGGAGTGGACAAAAGCACATATTAACAACATCTACAAAAAAGGAGATAAAAAGAATTGCTCAAACTACAGGGGCTAAGTGTCATAAATTCACTCTCAAGACTGTATGGAAAAATTATAAAAAATAAAATTGAAAAAGAGATGACAGATGTAGAAGAACAGAATAGCTTTCGTGCAGGCAGATCCTGTATGGACAGTATATTCTCTCTAAAGCAAGTTATCGAGAACAGATTAGCCCACAACCTTTCAACTCATATAGTCTTTATAGAAAATAAAATTGAAAAAGAGATGACAGATGTAGAAGAACAGAATGGCTTTCATGCAGGCAGATCCTGTATGGACAGTATATTCTCTCTAAAGCAAGTTATCGAGAAAAGATTAGCCCACAAACTTTCAACTGATATAGTCTGTATAGATCTGACAAAGGCATACGATAGTGCACCACTTTCAATGCTTTGGGTAGCAATGAAAAACAAGGAATAAGCAAAAAAATATACAAGCAGTACAACAGCTCTGCAAAAATATGACAGCAAACATTAAAACTGGAAATAGATTAATTAGAGAAATTCCTATTAGTAAGGGCCTAAAGCAAGACTGCTGCATAGCACCTACACTCTTCAAAATATATTTAAATGAGGCACTCTCACTGTGGAGAAAAAAGTGCTGTAATATGGGCATCCCAATCGGAGATGATAGATTGTACACGATACACTTCGCTGACGACCAAGCCATTCTAGCTGAAGACGAGAGTGATGTAGGATTGATGCTTAGAAAACTGGAAGATGAGTACAACAAATGGGGCCTCACAATTAATATACAAAAAACTGAGTACTTAGTTGTAGGAGAGAAACCAGAAAGCCTACAAATTGAAATGGGAACTATAAAACTAACAGACAATTTTAAATACTTGGGAGTCCAAATGACATCAAAAGCAGGAAGTAGCGCAGAAATACATTCCAGGATTGGCCAAGCAAGATCAGCCACCAGACAGCTACACGGACTATTATGGAACAAAAAAATAACAAAAGAAAATAAAAGAAGAATTTATAAAACAATAATAGAAAATATTGGACTGTACGGTGCCGAACTCTGGGAAATAAACCAAAGAAACAAATTATTAGGCCATGGAAATGAACTACTGGGGACGATGTTGCCAGCTCACTAGACTTGATAGGGTGAGAAACGAAGATATTCGGAGAGAAATGGAAATCGATCGAGACACAATCGAAGCCAAAAGACTTAACTGGTATGGACACCTTCAGAGAATGCCGGAAAATAGATGACCAAAAAAATAGAAGAATGGACTCCGCCAACTAGAAGAAAACGAGGTAAACCAAGACGATCCTGGAGAGACGATGTCGACGATGCAATGACCGCCAGAGATCTAACAACTGAAGGTTGCTTCGACAGAAAACGCTGGAAATTAGGATGCGAGAAGCGGCGCCAGCTGTAGAAGACTCGCTTGTTGATGCTGTTTTTTACTTAAAAAATGTATTTTGTTTTTATTTTAGAATAGAAATAAAGAGGTATACACATTCTTATTTCAAAATTATTTAAAAAATGTTCGGTCTGACAGAAAGCTTATATCATGATGGTCCGGGGCTTAGCGTGTTAAATATCCATTTATTTTAGATATGGCTTATTGTTTTAATCTTATACCTTATTCCATTAAGCGGTGCAGGGCATATAAACAACGATAAATTTAATAGATAATTGTTAAAGATGTTCCAAATGTTTACTCGTTCCGATAAGTAACAGTATAATTATGACACTTTATTATTTTTTTTCTTTTCTCAAATATTCGTGTTTATTGCATAGTAAAAATTAATGTTATCACTGAATACAAAGTAAGTGAAAAAATACTCCGATTTATAAAATTAATGAATATTTTATGCATAAATGCAAGTAACAGTTCTTCAAAAATATTTAAAAACTAACCGGAATGTCCATCTTTATTTCGTCTGACGATGTTATCGGCGGTTCATACCGGTTCGGACACGATTTAATGTTTATATTTTCCTGCACCGCTTAATGAATTTTACTATAGAAATGTCACAGGGTTGGATGCAGTATTGAAAGACTTTTCAATTAGAGTATATTCTTAGACTACATAGTAGGATGTAAAGAGGTAAGTGATGCCGGTATTAACTGCCTATTTGGGGTGGCAAGTTTTAACTGGAATGCACTGAAACTATTTTTTTAATTGAAAGTACTACTTTTGTAAATTATTTTGAAAACTATTAAGTCATATGTTTAAAAAAACATAACACACATAAACATTTTAAAAATTGGTTGAATGTAGTCACATTCTCGCTAAAAACATATCTAACAATGGTACATTTGCTTAGTATAATATGTACTTCGTCAAATATACGTCCTCACTATTGTAGCAACGTGATTTTAACACATTCAGTGAGCGTCCCGATGAGATTAATCGTACCAGAACAAAAAAAAAGAGAGAAAAATATAAAAAGAAGTATAGATAATTTAACACATTGTCCAGTACATTGGTTTCATTCAAGAGATAACACAAACAATGCTTTTTGGTCGACATTGATTCCAGTGATTAACAATACCAAGTATGTTGTATATCTTACCCCTTGAAATTTTTGTCAATCAATAAAATAAAGACAAATAAAAACATTGATAGATCGAGTCAATAGTTTCTTTGATATCTTTCTATCTAGTATCAACTCATGATCTGATTCGAGAAAACAACAAAAATGAACTCATAATAAATAATTAATCGAATCATTCGTTCAATTATTATTAAACTGAGTAAATGTCTGGCAAATATAAGTACTAAGAATCAGTGACGAGCTGAAGCAGATTGTTTGCGTTCTGGCTATTTACACAAAATTGCAGTGCCAACAAAAAACTAGGTTAAAAAACTAAAATCATGCGAATGGATTAATAAGCAAAGCATAACTAATCTACTCTAATGTCACAACCTTTCTTATAACAAATAATAATGATGGGCAACATCCACCACCAACACCATTGAACATCCAAGGTTAAAACTAGAAGTGATAATGGAGTATTAAATCACTTTTTACCTCCTCCTTGTACGATAGGTGATTCTCTCTTAAAAACGCCCTCGTTATTTGAGTTCGCCATTATTCCCGGCTGATTAAACCCGTGCCTGCGCTCGTACATTTCAACCTCTTCTTTGATAGATGCACCAAGCGCTCTGGACTGTAGAGTGGCTGCTAAACCTTCCGCAATAAATGCGTTTCGAGATTCAGCTCGAACCGGTGATTTGTTGTCATTAAAGTATGATTCGTGGTACGGCTTGATGTCGGCACGCGGAAGAGGCATGTACATATCATTTGAGTACGACGAATTCACTGCGCTTGGTCGAGTGGCTTGTGTGGGATACAAAACAGTTGTCCGAGGGGAATACTGCTGTCTTGGACTTGGTTGAGGCGGAGTTATATACTGAAAAATAAAATAAATCAAATTCATTAAACCATAATGAGTATTCATGATAGCAAAAACAATTAACGCATTAACCAACTATACTCGGATTGGAAATGCTTGATAGCGCAGTTTTTATGACAGAAGATTACAACGTCCTTTACGAGCACCTTCCCAATCAGTTGACCCACATAGGAATTTGCAGTTTAGGTCTTTTACCATAAACAAATTATACTCTGCATATTATTATACTCGGTTCACAATTTGTTGATAGCTCACTACAAGTTTAATCCTAATTAGAGAACTGAAATACAGGGAGGATAGGTAATACGATATAATAGTAAAAACCAACCTGAAACTGACGATTTAAGATGTTTTCGACTAACCCACCTTGTATCTGCCGAAATACAATACAGCGGTCAAGCTTATAATCCGATTAGGAACGTATTTTGGCCGACCAGCGTCGTAGAGTATATGATTGAAACATTTATTTGAACTAAATAAATATATTTTTTAAATTGTATTTTTGTTTTAATAAAACTTATAATAAAATAAAATATTTTATTCAAAAATAAAGTTTTTTGCCATTTGTAAAAGATACATTTATTTAATTAAGGGGAAAGGCACCAAATGTGTTTTAAATGTATCCATTATTTTCGAATTCGGAAAAAACTAATAAATATTTTTGAACATTTTAAAAGCAGAATGAAAGATTACATTATTACTGAGGGTATTATATATGTGTATACTGTTGTATATTACAGAAAGTCCCTGAAAACTTCTACAATGTTTATTTTATTATGTTATGCAACAGGGGTGAAAATAAAAGAGAGAATATAGTATAATTTTTAATTGAAAATATTGCATGCAAAAGAAACTTTTTATTTATTCTAATAAATATTTTATTCTGCCTTTAAATTTTTCCAAAAAGGCTTTTTAGTTTTCTCAGGATTTCTCAGGAAAACACATTGAACATTTTGACAGGCGACGTTTTGCGCCTTTCCCCTTTAATACCTTACTATTACAACTACTATCACTTACCTTATATAATTACGATTAGAAAACTATTCAAATTCAAAATAAATAGGATCAACTTCGGAATCCGAGTCGTCTTGAGGGTTAATAATTAGCGGTTGTGTCTCTACGGTCGCATCAATTATGTTATCAAGATCCCACATTTTTTGTTCTTCTTCTATTACATGTCTTACTGCATCTTTTCAGTTTTGTTCTGTAATGTGTTGTAAAGACTCGTATAACAATTCACGTACAGCTTGTATTTTATATGACGTATTTTTTCTAGCCACATAACTTTTCATTTGTGCCCAAATGAGTTCAATTGGATTTATTTCGCAGTGGTAGGGTGGAAGTCTAAGGACTGTGATGTTTCTCCTTTCCGCCATTTTGTCAACTACGTATTTCTTGAACTTAGATTTGTGTTGCCGGGCAATTTTTAAAAGTTCTGCTTTTACCATTCCATCTTCGTAAGGCAGGCACTTCTTCCGCAGCCAGTCAAGAATATCCTGTTTTTTCCACGCAGTCGTTGGAAGTCTTTCTACTAGTCGTGAATGATAAGGTGCATTATCTAATACTATAATTGAATTTGGTGGTATGTGTTAAATCATCTGCACAAAATTCTCTTCGAAAACATCAGCTGTCATCTCCTCTTGATAGTCTTTTGTGCTTTTGGACTGAAATTCCAACAAACCATGCTTAACAAATCCTTTTTCACTGCCAATGTGAGAAATTATTAATCTACTGCCTTTACCAGAAGGTGGGGAGATACCAGTAGACCAACCTTCCATAAAGGCTTGCCTGGAGCTTAATATATTTTTATCTGACCAAACTTTTTTTAGAGTGACCTGAGTTTACCCACGATTCATCCTGGTAGAAGATTGGCCTTCTTCTCCAACATATTATCTCCTCCCGGTCAATCAAAGTGATTTTCGGTCTGATTTCTCCCACCGGAAATTTAATTCTTTTAAAACTTGCCACAATTTAGTTCGTCCGATATGAGGCAAATCCGGATCATCTCTAACTTCTTGGAAAATTTTATTTAGGTTTGGTATTTCTTTTTTGAAAAAAAATCCATGAATTTTCCTTCGAATACCATTTTTGGCAAATTCATCAAGTTCAATATGCTTTTTCCCTCTCTTTAAGTGTTCGTTTGTGTTTGGGTTAGCTATACCGTGTTTTTTTCTTTCTGATAGGAACCTATATATAGTTGACTCCCCTACGCCAGTCATGTTGGCACAACTTTCGACTATGTTGCGAACAGTGTTTGTGGGATTCTGAGAAACCAGAGCATCGTGAACATTCAGGACAATAGTCTTCTCTCTTGGTAAATAGACAGACTTACTGACTGTACGCAACAGTACCGGTGTAAAACTTAATGATGTTGATAATGAAGCCATCACAAACAATCCAACAAAACGAGCACGAGCGAAAGGTACGTATATGTTCGTAGGTATATGGAATAAAAAATCACTCACGCACTGCATATAATTCGCAAAAGAAATATTCGAGACGCTAATTACTGCCGTAGAAGCGGAAACACCGACGAGCCGTAAATTACATGCGATCAAAAACATACTAAACAAACAAATTGTTTTCGTTCGTAATAACGTCACCCTTTTAAGTTAAGTTTCGAATATAAACTAAACAGACGAGGTACGTGGCGAAATCCGGCATCTATACCCATTAAATTATTAAAAATCTGGGGAATTCCATCCTAATTATCTTGCAACCGATAGTACCTTCGAATATAAATACCAGGTTTTCTAGTAAAGTGAATAAACGCGAAGTATTCTTATTTACAAAATTGTTAATGGTTAAATTATTATTTTTATTAATATAATATAATAACCAACATTAGCCGTGAAAGTTTTAATTGTTTTTTACTAAATATATCAGTATTAAAACATTATTAATATTAATATTAATTTTAATGAATAAACACCTCAGGAATGCCTATGATGATATAAATTTTACGACCGTTTGATGATTTTGAGGCATATTTCGTGCTATCAACAATTTGTGAACAGAGAATAGAAGTTCCCATATTAATTAATATGGCATTTTTATTAATATTTATTAAAAACATTACCCTTATGTTTTTTATTTATTTTCAGCAATAAAAAAAATCACTAAACCCTGGGTATACATTCACTTACGTCAACATAAGTTGATTTTTTGATAATTATGTTAAATCCAGCGGTAGCTAGGGAAAAATAACATCAAAACAATAATATTGTCAGTTAATGTCAAATGTATTTTGAGGTGTTGTAAAGCTTTTAGCCGTTTGTGGATTATACAATGTAGTATAGTTATCGATGAGAAAATGTGTTCAATCATTATTAGATTTTTTAATTCTGGAAAATCCAATTCAGAAATCGCAAATCGGAAATTGTGCAATTGTCACGCTATAGTGTAAGAAATATAGTCAGAAGATACAAAACTACAGGTTCATCACAAAACCTAGAAATGTACGAAAAAGTAAAAGAACCGAAGCAGATCGAAGGGCATCCAGACGCATTATAGTGAAAAATCGACGAGCAAATTATATGGAGTTAAGCGTCTTATCTTCTTCTTCTTGATGTGCCTATCCGTTAGGAATGTTGGCGATCATCATGGCAACCTTTATATTACCTGCAGCTGTGCGGAAAAGCTGCAGAGATGTTGTATTGAACCAGATACTGAGGTTTTTTAACCAAGATGTTCTTCTTCTTCCTGGACCTCGTTTTCCAAATATTTTTCCTTGCAGGATGAAGAAGCGCAAGAAGACGTAAAATCTCGTGACTACGCAATCTCCCTGAATGGTTTGGATGCAGTTCAATTGAACTATTCAGGCGTGTTACCATCAAAATTATAATTACCAGAATGATTTCCAATCTCCGACAGGAGCGGAACTTGAAGATGAAGAAGAAGGTCACTCATGATTTCTTTCATCCATGGTGCTTTTCTCTCTTTACAATGTCTGGTAAGACTCTGTCGGATCCGGGTGCTCTCCAGGTCTATAGTGCTTTATATGCCTCTACCAGCTCCTCTGTAGAATTTTTTTCTATCTAAGAGAATCTATCTAAGAGAATAACTCGTCTGCCAGCTCTCTTTTTCGGCTTTCTTCGATTTTAAGGATATTACTCCCTTTAAGATTTTTGTTAACTATCTTGTATGCATCAACCCAGATGACATTCTCGAGGTTATTGTACATTTCTTTCCAGTATCTTTTCTTTTGATTGTTTATTTTCTTTGCGAGTTGTCGTCAACTGGCGTCAACTGGTTGGGGGAAATTTGACTTTCATAGAGCTTGTAGATTCTCTTATGAACTACCTTTGGGAACAATTTTAGGAGATGACTCATGAGGCTTATAGTACGGCAATATTCGCATTTTTTGCCTACTGGTTTTTTTGGAAGTGCAATAAACTCATATTTCAGCCATTCTGTTGGTATTTCTCCAGAGTTGTATTTTTTTTTTGAACCTATTCTCTATCCTTCCTTTGTTGGATATAGGTCTCCCCCAGTTCTCTCCATCTTTCCCTATCTTGAGCTGTTCTCTGCCATGTGGGACCTCCTTGTTTCCTGATGTCATCTTTCCACCTCATCTGTGGTCTGCCTCTTGATCTCTTTGCATTATATGAACGCCACTTTCCGATGGCATTATTCCATCGTCCGTCTTGGAGACGTTCATTGTGTCCAGCCCATTTCCATTTCAGTTTTGCTGCTTGTTCTATCGCGTCTACTGTCTTTGTTCTGGTTCTGATCCACTGGTTACGTTTTCTATCTCTAAGTGATACACCCAACATTTGTCTCTCCATCGCTCTTTGTGCCTTCCTTATCCTATCCAAATTGGCCTGTGTAAATGTCCATGTCTGTGCTCCGTAGGTGAGCACCGGTATGATACAGGAGTTATATACCTTGGTTCGTAAGTATAGAGGGATTGTTTGATTTTTTAGAACGTAAGAAAGTTTGCCGAACGCTGCCCATCCATTCTTACTCGTCTCGATATTTCGGCTGTTTGATTTTCT